ATATGACTGAAAATTTTCATTTTTTTCTGAAAAGGTGGTGTCTATTTACTTGTGACCACGCTGTGTATATTAAAGTTTTTCTTCATAACCCATTCAAGCCGTCTCCAACCATTATTAATCTCATAAGTTGTTGGTAAAGATTGGCAGAGGGTGGTGTTGATCAGCTACCTATTCTGTAATTTATCACTTCAAAATCATCAATGGTTAGTGTAAAAAATAGTTACAATTAGATTCTGTTTGTCATTAATCACAAGACTACACAATGAGGTAATGTTATGTGCTCACCGCAAGTATCGAAACCAGAGTTTTTTAGCATTATAAGACTTCAGTCTTATCGCTGAGACACTTGGGAGGGGGCATAAATAATTATATAATTAGTATGATGTTTTACTAAAATTTACTTTGAGAAAAAATAGTAAAGTCCTTCTCATTATATTTTGTTATACAGAAGGTTATTCGTGTTATAAACATAATAGTTATTAGGTTAATTATTAATATTATTAATAATATTAATTATTATTAATAGTTAAAGGAATTATTGTATAAAATTAACTGAATAGTTATGTAGTCAAAGTTCTTGTTTGAATAAAATAAATAAAATAAAGTTCAAAAATAATGTTTAGATATTGAAACAAATAAATTATAACAAGAAAAGATTTGTCTTCTCTTGAGATGATTATGCTTTTAAAAAATAATCTATATAAAACTCATCTTGAATTTTATATTTGTGTACTGACTTTTATGTATTAAGTTGTACCCTGATGAACTCGTAAGTTGAAATATTGATATACTGAAATATTACTACTATTTTCTGAGGTTGAAAGTTCTTTCTTACTTTTAAATATGTTAAATGATGTTTATTCAGTTACCACTTCGCACATTAAAACATCTACAATCATATAATTACTAGCGTTAAGCTTATATATATATTATTCACCACTAGATGGCACTAGTTATAAGATATGGGAGAAATTCAGAACACTAAAAATAGGGATTGTTTTGCATATGTTAGTTGAAGTTGTAATGCAATCTGATGTAGTATAGTAGCTATATGTCTTGTAGCTTTAGAAAATAGTAGCTGTTTATGTGTAAGTTTGCAGATTTTTTAAAATAATTTAGATATTTAGTAATTCAGGTAAGTAGTACATCATGCGGGCATCAATAAACTCGATTAGTCGATCAGAATAGGTCACTAACTTGTCTAAGTGAGTCAGTAAGTGACGACGTTGTGTGACTTGATGAAATTGTGGAATTTTTTGTGCTAATTAAATATATTTGAAAATATGAGTAGCCTTGTTTATTATTAAATTAAACTGAGTATTGTTCCTAGTTTTCAGTTAAAATAATAATTTCTATCTTTCAGCTCATTTCTTGTGATAATTATTAAATTAACAATTTGTATATCCATTTGACTTTGAGTAACAACTTAAGTTATACAAGTTACAACTAAGTTTAATTCTGACGCTAGAAAAAACACCACCAACAAAACACGTAGTTAATCTGTGTGATGATACTTTTACATTTACTGCCATTTTTTGTGTTAGGTGATATATTGAAATAGTATAAACATACTTAATTATAAGTTAATATAAAATTTAAAAGTGTACAGCTAAAAGAGTTTTCTTTTATGTATGATTTTTATTTCTCTGAAATTAAACATGCTATAGAGAAGTATTACATAGGATGAGAAAGTTATGTGTATACACCATCTTATTAAAGTTACATATTTGAATAAGTGACCAGTTTGTTCTGTATGGTATAACTTCTCTTAAATAAGTTTCATTATACTGATCTATAGTTTTATTGACTGGTATTTTAATAACATAACAGTATGGGACAACGTGGGACCCATTGGTCTATCTTGGCTCTTCCATCCTCAAAACTAAATTAAAATGATTTAAACAATTTTTTTTAAACCCAGCCCTTTCATTCATGTACTTATCATGTACTTTTTCATAAACTCACTTAAATTTACTGCCTCCACAACATCTGAAGGCAACCCATTCCAAAGGCCAACTGCCCTGTTAGAAAAATAAAACTGTCTTAGCAGAAGATGACTCCTGCCTTGCCAAAATTTATACTTGTGTACCCTAGTCCTTCTATTCTCATTGTTAAATATAAAAAAAAGATGATGCATCAACATTATCAATTCCCTTTACAATCTTAATCACCTCAATCAGATCCCCCCCCCTAACTCTTCTTTTTTCAAGAGAAAACAATTTGAGAGATTTCAGCCTCTCCTGATATGACAACCCTTCCATCCCCGGC